CTGCAGCACCAGGGGACCAGGGCCCTCCTCTTGCACCGGCATTCCTGAAGGGTGGCTGTGGGGCTCGGGCAGACCAAATGGCCACCTGGTTCTGTGGTGAGCACCTTGCCACAGCCCAGAGCACCGTGTCCTCTGTGCCTTCGCCTCCGGCTACAACTCGCTGAGCACGACCACAATCTGCCTTGGCCGCACCAGGCTCTGCCTGGCCCTTGGCCAGCTGCTCAGTGTCCGCACCGTCCCCCTTTCCTTAACCTTGGAGGCCAGGTTGCCACGTGGCCCCCTTAGCTCTCTGCTCCCGGCTCTGGCTCAGCTGCTCAGCTCCCATCCTCCCCACTGCCCTGTGCATCTCCCTCCCTGGCCGCCGGGCATCCCTTACTCTGACCCTTACGGCAGTCCCGCTTCAGAGCAGAGCTGACACCATCCGATCGCAAGCCATCCCGTTCCTGCGGTGGCCGAGGGCTCACAGCGCCTGCTGGGCCCCTCTGCTCTTCCATCCCCGGTGAGGGCATGTGCGGAGGAGGGTGGCTCCCCCTGGCTTCACTTTGGGACATGGAGGACATTTGAAAGAACCTACTGTCTTGACAGGCCACGCCCCAGTGAAGGAAAGCAGGATGAAGGAGAGGGACACTGCCTGTGGGCCCTAACATCTAGATTCGTGCCCCTGGACGTTTGAGCACCAAGGGACCCATGGCAGGTTAGAGGTGGAGGTGGAGGCAGAGGTGGTGGAGAAGGTTCAGGCAAGCAGTGGAGAGGAGGCAGATGTGGTGGTGGCGGTGGTGGCGGTGAAGGAGGCAGTGGTGGTGATGGCAGAGGTGACAGTGGAGAAGGAGGAGAAGGAGGAGGTCCAGGCCCCCAAGTACAGGGACCGTGTTGTCCCGGGATGTCTCCACTGCTCTGACGTCTTCCATTCGTGGGAAGGGTGAACGAACGCACTGTATGTTGTTACCTTGGGAGAGGCTGACTTTTATACCCGAGTCCGCATGTCACGTGCCTGTCCTGGGCTGCCAGGGGACCGGCAGTCCGCTAGAGTCACTAGTGCCACTTTGTACGTTGAGAAGCTGTGTGCTGGACATACACAGATGGGCCCGCGAGGCCCTCATGTAGCTGGGAAGGAGATAGGGAGGGAGCCAGCGCTGTGTTGCTGTAGCTGCCTCTGTCTCTATGTTCGTATCCATATCTGTAGGTATAACTGTCATGATGTTTATTTGTACCATCATCCATGTGCACCTATGTTTACATCTGTGGAAATGTATGCATGTACATTCATACCTGTGTCTGTAGAAATATCAATGTCCACATCCCCGAGTATCAGCATCACTATTTACACCTGCATCTGCACTATGTCTGCATCTGCACAACGCACGCGCCTCTATCACCACGTCATCCGTGCAAAGGCTTAGCCCATAACAAGAAACGGTCCGAGTCTGCACAGGCACAGAGGAAAGAGGGGCCAGCACAGACCCTCGACAGCGGTCTGGTAGGGGGAGCCAGGCGGAGACAGCAGAGTGACACGCGACACGCATCCTGCAAGGCCCAGCAACGATGCTGTGAGCAGTTCTGAACGGCTCCGAGGCCCTTGGTACTTGTGATCAAAGTAAATAAAGGCAGGAAGAGGCGCGCAGAGCACAGGCTTTGGGCTTGCCTGTGGGGCTGTGGATGGTGGGGGTGGTGAGCCAGCAACGGGCTCGGGTGCCCGGTGCAGAGCCAGAGCCGTGTCTTTCTCGGGCTCCGCGATTCTGCTCCCGCCTGGTGTTGCCAGGCAGTCAGGACAAGAGTCCGGGCCTGCAGCTGTTTACACTTGAACGGGATATTTGTGGGGAGCAGAATGCGTATGAGCACTGTGAAGCATGTCTTCAGAATGACACCCCGGTATCCGCTATGTCTTAATTCAACACCCAGCTCAGCAGCTCCGGAAGGGCTGAGGAAAGCGGTGCAGGCAGCACGTCTGCTTTATCAGCGCAGCTGCGTGCAGTGTGAAACTGGAGGGCCGCAGCACGGAGGGTGCGTGGTGATCCCCTCCCGCCTTTCTTTCCACCTGCACAGGTTCCCTGTAAGCAACTGTTCTTGGCCTAAGGAGGCGTCTTGGCCTCTGCCTTTACCCACCGGTGCTAGGCTCAGCCACACAGGGGCGCTATTCTCATTTCTCTTTCAACACTGCGGTTGTTTTCCCAGTCAAGGCCTCCTGGATCCGAGGCATGTGTGGGACTGCACCACAGACTTCCCACTGCTGCCTGCCAGAGGCTTCTTCGCCCTGAAAACCCTCTGGTTCTTTGTGACCAGGGGCCTGCAGCTCTTGCAGCTTTCTGGACCGTGAACTCCCCATGGCAGAGGCCACCAACTCTCGATCTCCCAGGTGCTGCAGCCGAGGCCCAAGGGAAGGAACTCAAAAGCCCTGACTTGATTTGCAGTGTCACGGAGGCCCCTGAGCGTGAGGGCTGGGCTGGCCCCGAGCAGCGGGCGTTCAGGCATCACTGCACCAACACCCACCCTTCCTCGATGTTCAAGGCACATTTAGTCTCAGTCTTTTACACCCCCGGCCCTGCCCCATAAAGTAGGTGTCTGAGTTTCGCCTTTTCCCCGTCGGTGCCTTTAGTGGTCTCTGTTTGAGGCAGGTAGAAGTTAGTGGCTAAGCAGTTAAAACGCTCTGTTCTTAGAAACGAACCAGAGCCACTGAAGACATCTGTTTTCAGAGTTTGAAACAAGTTGTCTGTGGTGAATGTTTAGGTTCATTAATTCATTCAGCAAAGACGTATGGAGTTGGGACTGTGTGCCAGGCCCCCTGCAGAACTAGAGACAGCCGGGCACACGTGGACGGGCACCCTCCCCGGCCAGCTTTACGTTCTAGGTGGGCCGGGAAGGGCAATGAGTCAGCCCTTCACATCCACCAGCTTTCCCTTTCCACAGTCAGTCAACTGAGAATCCAAAATATTCAAAAACCAAAAACTGCCTTCTCTGCTGAGGGTAGATCGGGTGGGCACAGGGCAGAGGTGGCTCTGCGCTGCTCAGTGCCCAGGGCAGCTCAAGAGGGAGCCTTGCCAGGCCCATCGTGTGGAGAAACTCTGGCCTCAACTGACACTGTTGTCTCCAGGGAGGTGGCCTCTGCAGCTCACATGGCCACGGCCACGGCCACACTCTGAGTATGTCCTGGCTTGTAATGATTTGCTCAAAGTCTCCTTCATCTTAAGCTCCTGTTCCACTCACCACTGAAGTCTTAGTGCGCAGTCTCCCGATTGGCAGGTCCTAAGTGCCTGGACGGGCACCCTCCCCTGCCAGCTTTACGTTTCTGCTTTCTGATGTATTTGTGCTGACTTTAAAAACCATCTCAGGGACGTGTGACAGAGGAGCAGTAGGTGTGAGACCTGTGTATCACTCCTGTTGCTTGAGAAATGCACACTGCACCGACCTTAGGGGATGAGAACACGGGGAAGGCCTGAATCCCAGCACCCAACTTCGAGTCCTCTCTGAGGCTAATTTTTCATTGTCCTTGAAGCTAATCATGCCTGCGGAAACAGCATCACCAAATTGACTAAATGAGACTTCCAATTAACTCAAACAGATGGCGAGAATTTTCCAGGTGACTTTCCATATTAATTCAGCAAGTTGGCTAGACCAGGCCCCAGGAGGCGGGAAGTGCTGGGGCTGCGAGGGAAACAGTGAAACGTGGCGATCTTCAGGACAGAAACCAAAGCCACGGTCTGAACTGTGTTTTACTGCAGTGAAAGACCCGGCAGCCAAGTTGATTCAACATCCCCAAGCCAGTGTGCAACAGGGGCAGCCTGCCCTGGATGCACCAGCTGTCAGGTGGGCAGGGGCAGCTGCCTGGGGCCAGGGTCATCAGCTCCCTAGGGCCCCCCATATGAGGAGCTCCCTGGGGCCCTCTGTAGGGAGGAGGACAGTTCAGGGCAGGGACAGGAAGGAAGCAGCCAGCCCTTCACAGAGCGCTGGGGTTCTGCACCTGGTCTGCGCCTCGGGGACCATGACATCAGTTTACACTGCAGAAATGAGAGTCAAAAGCACCTCACTGGGTTCTTTGGGGCCCAGTTTCCGGGCAGCACCTGGGGCCGGGATGAGGACAAGCAGCTCCACTGCAGGAAAACGTCACTCAGAGTGCCAAGCATCCGTCCTGAGCCAGACCTGAGCTAGCGGGACCTCAGCTCCTGTCCCTCAGGAAGCTTCTCACCATGGGAGCTCTGTGGCTGAGTCACAAAGGCCCAGGTCTCCGGTGTACCATACGCGGGCTGGATACGCGCTAAGCCCGGAAGGAGTCATTCTTGACCTAAACAGCCCTATTTACGGAATCACAGATTTATAAATGATTCCGGAGCCACATCCCTCCCTTTCCGAGTCTCCCACTATCCATCCTCACAGAGAGAGGCTCAGTGTTGACGTAACTGGGCCAGGGTGGTATAACCAGGCCCAGTTGCTCGGATTTGGGAAGCAAAGCTGAGCTGACATTCAGATCACACCACTTAAATAGATCCGACTCAGCTGTTCCACTGTAACCAAAAATCTGCTCAAACCAGAAGTTGAAAATAATACCAATAATGTGGGTCGGTTCCACCAACTGAAGCTATCCCGTGTGGCAGCGTTCAAACAGGACTGAGCACCCAGTGCAGGAGCTGGCCAGCAGCGGAAACCCTCGGGAATGCTGCTCTAAAAGTGGAGCTCCGTTCACAGAGGAGCTGTGTTTGCCTTCATGGGAAGCAGACCGCAGCAGGTCGCCCTGTGGATGTCACCCAGGGTCTGCCAGGTGTGTGGCGGCCCAGCCTCGGGATTATGTGCTCCTGGTGCCAGCTAAGAAGCACTAGTACTTATTGATTGGTTTGTGTTTTATTCCTTCCCCAGAAAACCGAATCATACACCAGCAAGGAGCACTTTAGAAAATATACCTATTTCTTAGATGTTTGAGTCAGTAGTAAACCAAGTCTGACCCTGAAGAGGCCGTGGAAACGACGTGTGCTGGGATTCTTTTCTGACCTACCAGAGGGGAGGGGACCAACCTCATCCGGGGGTCATCCGGTGGTGTCATCTCCAGGTCGTGGGTGGGCCCATTGAGGCCGATGACATGCAGGGAGATGCTGGGGTTCTCACTGCCTGCCTGCGGAGGAGGGAAGGGACAGAGACAAGAGTCAGTGGCCTTGTGCCAGAGCATCACAGCTTTGCCGGCTCTTCCCTGGAAGACTCCCGCATGGGACTCCAGCAGCCCTGGGGCTCAATGCTGGGGAGAGAAACTGAGGTGGAGGACAGAGCATCTGTTTTAAGGAGGGAAAAAGCATTTGTCAGAGAAGTTCTTTTCCTTCCCAGGAGCCCCGCTGCTTCCCACCCCATCCACCGGCTCTGCGTGCTGATGGAGCAGTTCCACTGGCCTTGGTGATCCACGTGGGTGGGAAGAGAAGAGCTACACCAGGGGGAGAAGATGTCTAAGGGGTGAGAAGGAGCGGTGGGGGACACTGATCAAAGTGTCACAGCTCAGCATGGGGCGGAGAGAATCCTGTGACAAGGAGCCGGTACTCCGTTCTGCGCCCGCTGCTCTCTCGTGGGGTAACAAGCACTGGTCTGGATGGAGCAGGGGGAGGACATGGTAATTCCTCATCAGGGGCCTGGGGCTGGGCTGACATCCTCCCTCCAGATCTGCACAAAGCACTCAGGACCGGGGAGGAAATCAGCCAGAGCCAGGTGGGTTCCCCACTCCAGGATCTGATTTGAACTCTGTTCCCAAGTATGTTGACTTTCTATTAAAATGTGAGACCCTCACATCCTGAAACCTGGAACAATACGAGCCTCTGCCTCAGAGTTCACTGGAAATCAAAAGGTCCCGCTAGATGCCAGGTGGTTACTCCTAGATTTGAGGAACTCCTGTGGGAGGGGTCACCATGGAAACCAGTCCATCTCTGCGCAGGCTGATGAGTGGCAGATAATTACATGCTTGTGTGTCTGTGAGTGTGTGTGTGTGTTTTGGGAGGATGCAGAAGGATTAGCCGGGTACCCTTTTTTTAACTGGGCATCCCGCTAATCCTGGACTCACTCGGCCAGGTAATGTGGGGCTACATCACACTGTGTGCTGAAAGCTAGAAGGACTCAGGGTGGGACTAAGGAGAGACCAGGCTGAGACCTCCAGGGACCCATGTATCTCCACTTTGCATGGGGACATGTGTCCCCCCACACCATGGATAATGGCCACGTAAGCAAAGGGCTGCTGGGCACGTCTGCAACATTAGCCCCTTGGACTGCAGTGTTGCCTCAAATTCACATGCTGAAGCCCTGACCCTCCGTGTGGTCCAGTTCGGGAGAGGGTCCCTGGGGCGGCTGGGGGGCTGGGGCTGGTGATGGAATCAGCGTTTGTACGAGGAGTAGGAGGGACCAGAGCGCTCTGTCTTACACCGTGTGAAGAAGGCACAGTGAGCCACGGTGTGCAAGCCAGCAGGGCACCCTTGCCAGGAATGAATCAGCCAGAGCTACGCCCTGCGCTCAGGCCGAAGCCCCTGAGGGGTGGGAAGTGAATTTCTGCTGTGTAAACTGCAGGGTCTGTGCATGTTGTTCTGGTAGCTGCAGCCCACAGCACACCTTCCCGGCTTGGGCTCTGGGGCCCTCCATCACCTCTTCATCTCAGCCTTATTACAGCTTCTTTTGCAGCAGCCAAAGGCTGGCAGGTGTGGGTGCGCCAGGGGCATACAAGGCTCAGAAGGTGGTGCATCTGTGCCCGGCACTGTCGGGTGAGGGGGCTGTGTTTCCCTGGTGGAGGACAGGGCAGCTCCAGAGGCCAGCGGCAGGATGAGGCTTAGTTGCACGGGGGTCCAGCAGCAAGGGGCTCATGTTCATTGACCTGGCGGCCTTGGGGCCATCTAGAGGGGCCAGCGGGCAGGAAGCTCTGTGTGCGCATGCTCCTGGACATCCGTGCCCTCCAGCTGAGCTGCCTGTGGAGGACTCAGCATCAGCTCCCTTGAGGGGGGACACCGTGATTTGGTAACGAAGTGGGGTTTGGGTGTTCCTTCTCTACTAGATCGGTGCTGCTCTTTAGGTCAGAATGGGACTGTCTCCATTCACTTGGGTTGCTCTAATGAAATGCCAAATGCTGGGCACCATGGCATCAGGCACGTGCATTTCACTATCCTGAGGACAGAAGTCCACGGTGAAGGTGATGGTAGAGCAGGTGTTGGTCAAACCTGCTCCTCACAGATGGGACCTTCTCACTGTGTCCTCTCATGGTCCCAGCAGGGACAGAGCTCTCCGGGGCCTCTTGATAAGGCACGAATACCAGTCACGAGGGCTGCTCATTCCTGGCCTGGTCACCTCTCCAAAACCCTGCCTCCCTACGCCACCACCTTGGGGTGGGGATCTCAGCCTAGCAACATCAGGGGAAATAGACTTCCAGACCACAGCAGTACCCAGGCACCAGCTGCCCACTCAGGCCAGGCTGGGGGCAGGCTGCATCCCTCTGACTCCACAGAAGCCACGTCCAGGAAGGAGAAGGGCTCTCCTGACAGGGTGAGATTTTGTCATCTGGAGTCGTGAGCGGGGCGATGTATTTATTTTGGTTCTGGCGAAGCTTAGGCAAATGATTAATCATTGCTCAATTATTTAAAGTGAAGCAAACCTGCCAACACATTCAACTCAGCGGCAATGGAACTTGTGCAAGGTGATGAGAAACAACCTCTCCTGCTTGCTGCGCACTCATAAACACGCTGTCTGCTCTTCTCCTGCCCTGCCAGCCTACCTTGGGGTAGTGATAGGGCTTCGCCACCGGGTACGCTGAGCCCGTGTAGGTCGGCAGCTCCATCACGGGTACACGGGAGTCGTTGATGGTGGCGTAGGCCAGCCTTGTGCCGTCTGGAGACCACCAGTGTGCGATGTGGGTCTTCAGGATCTCCTCTAGGGAAACAAAGCAGAGCAACGCGGACAGTTCACCAGGGGAGGGGACTCCACGCCACAGCGTACATCCTGATCCCCTAGGGCCTGGCCGGCCCCACCGAGCCCCAGATACCTTCCCTCCGCTGGTCTGAGGCTGACAGCTGAACTCAAGTCCAGTCCTGGTACCCAGGGCCCAAGGGGTCCCTTTTCTAAGTGGATAACTTGATTAATTTCCTATTTCTCCTTATTGTAACTGACATGCTTCTTCAAACCTTGTCTCTGCTAAGGAGCCCTTTCAAGATGAATGGTTGTAGACTGTGACTTGTGTGTGATATTAAACACACAACCAGAGGAGGTCAGCTTGTGCAGCAGCATAGTGGCTGGCATGTCCAGAGCTCCTAATGGGAAAGGCCCCTCTGCCCAGCTCTCAGCCCAGAAGGACAGGCGGCCTGCAGAGTGCTGGGCTCTGCAGACAAGCTGTGCTCCGGCCATGTCCCAATGCGGGGCAGAGGAAGTAGACGGTGGAGTGCTTGATTGCCTCGCAAGCCTGAGGCCCTGGCTTTCACCCTCAGTACTGCAAAACCCCGAACCAGAACCAAACCAACCAGCCAACCAACCAACCAACCAACCAATACACAAACATCAGGAGAAAGAAGGGCAAAGTTCCATTCTCTCTGGCAGAATATGAAGCACGCCAGCCTAGAAAGGACAGAGACAGGAATGGGGATTCTCTTAGGTTCCCGCCAGGGACACCCACTCCCTCTTCCCTTCCCATAAGCATCTGGCTCCTCAGTGTCCACTCTACATAGCTTTTCTAAGTGTTTGGAATACGATCCAGGGAGGAAAATTCTACCATGTGGTTATTTTTCTTGTACTGAGATTGAACCCAGGACCTTTGCACTTAGCTACTCCTTGGCTCATTTTTTATTTTGTCTTGAGACAGGGTCTTGTGGCGTCATGAAGCTGCCAAGGCTGCTTGAATCTGTGATCTTCCAGCCTTAGCCTCCCAGAGTGAGGCTCGTCACACTCCCAGCACCGACCTCACGCCCACGGCTCTGAGCTCAAGGGCTTCTCTCCTACAGGGGTCCGCTTTTGGAACAGTGATTCCTGTAGTTACACAACAGGAGGCTCTGGTCCCTGGCAGGTGACCACATCCTGTCTGCGTCCCCACAGTGCAGGGGCAGGAGGGGCTGAGGACACTCGAGAAGCAGCACCGGTGCATTGCTGGGCGGGGAGAGAACTGACTGCAGTGGAGCTGGGGTCACTGGCCGGGGGGACACGGCCACAGAGGGGAGGGAAGGTGGGAGCACCTTGGCCTCCGAGGACTCAGGCCTTGTCTCTGGCCACAAGCACATTTCCCAGCCCTGGCAGAGGAGGCCATGTACCCAGAGGAGGCTGCCTGGGGTACAGGCTGCCTTTTCCTCATGTTGGGGACCTGGATAGCCCTGGAGGAATGACAACTGAATCTGACACCCCTCCCTCAGGGCACCTCAGCCTGCAACACCCTGCTGCTGCTTCTAGCGCCAGGTGGGAAAGTCTGATGACTCAGGAAGCCGGGGCCAGGCCACCTTCCGTCCCCAGGGTATCCTAACCTGGACCCAGTGCTCAAACAGTGGATTTGAGGGCTCCGAGTCCTGAGCCCCACTAAGTGCCTGTTCCTGAGTCCCCACACGTGGAAGGGGGTCCGGAGGCTGCTATTACATCTCCCACCTGCAGCACTTCGATCTCTTGGATCCACCCCACCCCTGCGGGGCGCTTGCAGCTCTGTGGAGGCACACAGGGAGGAGGACAAGCCCCGCAGGCTGGTCTGCAGAGCCTGTGCTTTTCCAGCACTGTCAGGCGCAAGCCTGGAATGAGGTGACTCAGAAGTGACTTACACAGTCACCTGATCTGCCACAGCGCGGGCAGGAGCAGTGAGTAATAGACACCAGCAGATGGCCGGCTGGAAAAATACGCACCATTTGAATGCAATTTTCCACGATTCTGTTCAATCACTTCTCCAGTAAGGAAATCAGTGCCAAGGAGCAGAGCCCGAGGGTTGTGGGGGATGGAGTGTGGCCCAGTGGAGTCCGTTCAGGGACCTCGCCTGCTTTGCAAAATGTTAATTTCCAGCCATAGCAGAGAAACGGCCGGCAGCCACGGGTTTCATGGATGAAGAAGGTTGGACGGAGACAAACAAGAAACACAGCAAACTCCCAAGGGACAACTTGTATGTTTCTTCCCTTTGAACCCAGCACCCTCGCCTGAGACCGAGGGGTCACACATGGCACGCAGACGGACATGTCCTCATCCTTGCTCCACTGGCATAGTAAGAAGTGACCAGGAGGAGGGCAAAGTGCCAGGGTCCCACGCCCAAGCTCCACTTGCCATTCTGAGCATTTGGGTGCAGGAAAACAATCAACCAGTGCACGTCACAGAATGTAAAGTTTGGAACAGAACATGCAGCCTGAGTTCAGGGATGACAAAGTGTGTGTGTGTGTGTGTGTGTGTGTGTGAGCAATGTTAGCTCCTTCGCGTCCCACCCCACAGTGACACGGTGGCACATACAAAGGTGTTCTACCACGCTGAAAGGCTGGCCCTATCAAACAAGAATAGCTTAATCTCCTTCCCCTGCATGTCCATGAACACACTGTTCCTTGGCGTCTTTGTTTTTCCGCGTGTCGGTTACTCATTAAGGACATCATTAAGTATAAGAAGCTAAGGGGGAAACGACCAGGCAAGCAACACCGGGCATCACAGCATTCATTATGAGAGTCCCTGTTCTGCAAACATTTTCTTCAAGATCCCTGGCTTAATGAGGCAGCTGCTTAAATGCCACGTACCAAATGTGGTTTAGGAACAGAGATTTGCAGACAGAGGCAAAAGATCCCTATTTCATCCACTGAATTAATTGCACAAGCCCTTGCCTCAGAGCAGAATGAACAGCTCACCTTTTCAAGCAAGCCCAGATCACTGAGGAGTCTTCCTCACCGTCCTGCTGTGTGCGGGACTAGGTTAGCATCACGCCAGGAGCTTTGTGAAGACACCCCCAGGTACCCAACGGCTCACTGCAGGCACAGGCTCAGTCGGTGTCTATTTCTTGCCAAGTTGTGAATGGTAGTGCCGCTCGCCCATGCCAACCTGTGTTCCAGGCACACACCTGGCAGGACAGGAGCCCCTTGGGCTCCAGATGATAGAGGACGACTCAGCCAAGGGGAACCTTAGCATCTCTGGATTGTGCGGCAGACATAGATTAGGAGGCGGACACTAGCGTCATTCTGTCACTTTCTTCTCGGTGGCACAGGCTGGTTTGAAGGCATCACTGGGCTATGCCCTGTGCGTGGGTGCTGAGGACACAGGTGCGGGTGGCCCTGCTCTAGGCATGGGTCCGTATGTGCAGGGCAGCTGGGAGGGTCCAGACTCCTCTCCTGCAGAGGCTGCAGGTAGCTTTGTGGTGTGCATACTGGTTAAAGATGACTTGACCAGAGAAAAGAGCAAGAAACCCTGTCACTGCGAGCACGTGGAGGGGCTCCGAGGACACCATGCTAAGGGAAGCAAACCTGGGACAGAAAGACAAGTCCCACACACTCTCACCCGGAAGTGGGATGGAGGGAATGTGACGTCACAGGGATGGATGGAGGGTGGGTGGCTGTGGGAGCCTAGGGGAGGGGAGGGGTGTGGAGTCTCTGTTGGACAGGAGGAGCAAGGCACGGGCTGCCGGGCACTCAGGTGCTGTGGTTGACCTAACCATGCACTGGAGAGCTGTGGGCAGAGGAGGGTGCCGGGTTCTCTGCATAAAGAGCACCAAAGTGGTGCACGTGTTAATTAGCTCAGTTTAGCCACCCACGATGCGCACCCATCTCAGGACGATATGGCGCACACCGCGGATGCACACCGTCTTTGCTGGTCAATTGAAAAGCACCGTGAAGCCAAAAATGACTGCATAGAGACATTCACGCTATCCTGTGAAATGAATATCGGATGTGGAATCATACAGAGTGGGTTTCATCCGCACATATGAAATCCTGGGCAGGGGTTCTTCTTCAACAGAGAAATGACAGGCTCCCCTCCCAGGTACTTTGTGTTCCCCAGGAGAGATGAAATGCTCACATCACCTGTGCATGTGACCTTGTTTGGCACGAGGTTCATGCAGATATAAGCGCGAGCTAGCTCGGGATGAGGTCATACGGTGGGTGGGGGGGTGGGGGTGGATCTTGCGGGCACTATAATTGCCGTCCATGCGGAGAGGAGGAGGGCGCAGACCCACAGGGGTGACTGCATGTGACTGCAGAGGTACAGTGATGTGTCTACAAGCCTGTGTTAAGCCTCCTTGCATAATTAAGGAACTGGAGGTTCAAAGAACTTTACTGAAGAAAGACTGGGTACGGGACACATGGTGAACCCTATGCTATAGTAGGCGGAGACAAAGTTTATAATAAAAAAAATTATCTTCCACTAACAACGCCGGTACACAAGCGATCCACATCGAAACCGCAAAGGATTGTGGGGGCTGGAAACACAGAAATTTGCAGGAAATTTGAGTGACATTACAGGAGGCTCTTACTGGAACAAGAATGGCGAAGCTGGGATGACCTCCAGCACCTGCACTCTTGTTCTGCTCGTAGAAGAATGTGAAAGTTGTGGCTGGGCACATGGCCTTCCAGGGCAAAGGCAAGGTTTCCCAGCTCCTGGAAGGAGGGTGGTCTGTGACCAGTCCCACGTTCACCTCTTTCCCTCTTCCTGTTGGCTGAGGTGGAGACACGGGGTGAGACCACCTCAGCACATAGGTGACTGCGACACTCCAGCATGGATCACGGAGCACCTCGGGGTGGAAGAGTCCTTGCTGCCCTCCCTAGCACCCAGAGTTCTTCCGGCAAACATCGTGAGCCACAGGAGGGGAGCACAGGTCGCAGCCGGGGAGGAGGGGAGCCGGGGAGACAGAGCTGCCTGCCTGTGGTGTGTCAGGTCAGCAAGGGGCTGAAGCCCAGGAGAGAGTGCTTGTCCCCTGGCCTGCCACAGCTCTCTTGCAGGGACATGCACCC